GGCGTTTGTAGTTTAGGGTTTAGGGCTTAGGGTTTTAGGATCTCAAGGTGGTGTGCGCACTTGCAGAGACGATGCTACGAGGTAGCGTGTGGCCGTGAACACGCAGGATCATACGCACATGACGCACCTTCAAAGACACCACTGGGATTGCAATTCCTTGCGGGGTTCGCAGAATTCACAACGGGGAGTCCCCTCCTAATTCACCCTAAACCCCAAACCCTAAACCTCGAACCCTAAACCCCAAACCCTAAACCTTAAACCCTCCAAACCCAAAACCCTAACCTTTGAAAAAAGTTTGCAAACCCTGCGTAAACCCTGCAAGGCGACACGGGAGCTCCTGACTTTAAACAAGGGGATGTCCGACATCTTCGCAGGCGTCCTTCGGGTGCTCGATTCGATTTCCGCATACTTGCGGCGTTGTAAGCGTATAAGGCACAGATGACAACAATACAACCCCCCCCCTCCCCGGGCATGCCACGAATCCTGACTCTGTCACACCCTTGTCTGAGATGGCCCTTGAAGCCCTCCTGAAAAATATTCCTAAATATGATCCTCTTAAACCCAATCAAGGGGAAATCTAAAATGTCCCAAGGGCCTACCTAGTTATACATGGGTTTAGGGTTTAGGGCTTAGCCTTTCCGAGGTCAGAGTATGGGAGTTTCCCGTCGAAACCGTAGAAGGAACCCAACAGGACTAGAATCTACTATTTGCTGAAGAACCCCAAAAGAATAAAAAAACAACAATCCCTATACTACCCTTATAAGGAGGATCATTTTTTTCATATTATTTCGGGTGTTCTTAAGCAATAGAGTCTTCAGGTGTTCGAGAGCCCAAAGTTGAAGCTCTGGTGGTCCTTGACCACAGATGTCCCTTTGGCAGTCCTCGGGAAAGGGCTTAGGGTTAGGGTTTAGGGTTTAGGGTTTAGGGCTTAGGGCTTAGGGTTCAGGGTTCAGGGTTTTAGGGTTTAGGTTGATGAGGACTTCGTCTTAGACAGATTCAAGGATCTGGCTTGCTATAGCGTCTATGGATAAAAAACCGTGCGCCTAAAACCGTGTAAGCACCAATGAGCAGGAAGACTTGGCTCCAACCCTCAAAACCAACAACGTACCCGAAAGCCAATTAAGCCGAGCAGCAGTACAAGGGCACGTCCCACTCCAGACATTGAGCTTTAAACGCTGCGCAGTCTTTTCGGGTGCACGCAACGATGTTCCTTAGCATCTCAATATTCAAGGTGTGTGCAAACCCTAAACCCTAAACGAATATTGGAGGTAGTCTGGAAGAGGCACTACTCGCTGAGAAGGGGCTCCGACCGAGAAGAATTCGATGCCAGCTCGAGACACTGAATGTCCGGAGAAACAAAACGCTCTTCCAATCCTGTTTCGGAAGCTAAAGGTGTAGGGTTTGGGAACATCATAAATCCTCACTTCTAAACCCCTAAACCCTAAACCCTAACCCTAAACCCTAAACCCTAAACCCTAAACCCTAAACCCTAAACCCTAAACCCTAAACCCTAAACCCTAAACCTTAACCCTAAACCCCAACCCTTTTTTCGTGCATCTCACAGTCGGTTTCTCAAAACTTGTCTGCGACGCGGGTCTTGCCCGACGGGAAGCTGAATGGTTCCACACAACAAAATGATCATCATCCACAACTCAAGGTTTTGAATCTGTCACTTGCCACCCTAAATCCAAAACCCTAAACCCTAAACTGCCCTAAACCCCTAAAACCTAACCTCGGAGTCGCACCCCAAGCAACTCAGCATCGCCGGTGAACAAGCTTGAATCTCAATTCGATGCTCACCATCTGCGCAGGCGACAAGCCATCTCCGAGGCGTCTAGAAATATGCCTCAACCCTAAATCCTAAACCCTAAACTCGAAACCCTAGTCGTAAAATAGCAAAGACGCTCGGACCATGGCCCGCTTCCGCAACGCTGCGCAAGACCTGAGAATATTCCAGCGGATCCTGACATGCTACATCCAGAACCTCTAGGGGATCCGAAGTATGGGCCCTTGTTTGGGCCCCCTGTTATACAAGCGTTATATACACTGTACATAGTATACACTATACATAATAAGGGCCCATACTTCGGATCCCTTTGAACGCCTTGAAACAAGGGTAAGGTACCATTCTAAGTGCCCATGGTTCCAACCTTAGAATCTAGTGCTTCAGGGTCTATAGGGTCTAGGGTAGAAGCTCGTACGGCTTCAGCTAGCGGCCCAATCACTTCTGGCAGTCTTCCAGCACCACACACAGGGTCCGAAGCTGCAAAAACACTGCAGGTGAAACGTGCAAGACTTCTGAATTTTTGAAGGCTGCGACTTGCCAACCAGTTGCCGGAAAAGGCCGCAGAAGAGCAGAAACGCCAAAGCACACGCAAGCAAAGAAGCAGGGCCCAAACTGATGTGCCCCAAATCCTGAACTCCAGGTCAATGTCTAAACGATGGCTTAAGTACACGCAAAATCCTGTGTTCTTGAAAGTAGCGAGGGTACTTCCAAACTCAAGTGAGTTGGAGGAATGTTTGGCTCTCAACACAAAAGCCTGACGCTACCCCTACCCCGTATTTCTGGAGCGTGAACGAACGCAGTATGCCTACCAAATACTTCAACTCCAAGGTACTTTCCGGGTAGACGCAAAATCCCAATAGTAGAAACATGAAATGGCGAGCTAAAGCTGGGTTGCCTCAGGATCTGTTTAGAAAGGGATAACTTTTTTCTACAAAAGGCTCGATCAGGAGTGTGGGGTTCTTAAGGGGGAGCCCTGGACCGACTCCTCTAACCCTAAACCCTATAGACCCCAAACTGCTGCCCATATACATGGGTGCTCGAGCCTCTTGGACAGGACTCGAGCCCTGGAGCGTGGCGAACCTACGGGCCTGGAAGGGTCACGCCTCCCAGGACAACCCCTACCTCTTGCGGCGCGTGTTACCGTGTGGCGTCGCCACAAAAATTAAGACACTTTGGTGGGTAGAGCGCAAGCAGGGAATAGTTCGCGTGGAGCGTGGGGCTACTAAGCTACGCAAGCGCGCGATAGGAAGTGCACCCCTAAATCTAAAGAAACCTAAAACCCTAAACCCTAAACCCTAAACCCTAAACCCTGAACCGCAAACCCTACACCCTAAACCCTGAGCCAGCTGGGCCCGCCTCTTTGTGCTAGCAGCTGCTAGCACTTTGGAAAGGACACCGCTGACAGTGCTTAGCACTTTGCTCTTCCCACAGCAGTCCAAGCAATTTGTCGGTCCAGGTTGGGTTTAGGGTTTAATAAAGTTTCGGGTTCAGGGGTAAATTCATTCTAGCCTTATACCACATCTTCGTGAAGTATAAACCAGACCTCATTGCAAAGGGGCTACATCACCAGTGTTTCGGCACCCGCAAAAGCAAACTACAGCGCGCACTGAACATACTGGCTGCGAGGCTGAATCAAAAGAGGGGAAACCCAAGAGCAGCCTAGGAAAGGGTGCCCGGTTTGGTTTCAAAAGGGGCTTGTAAGGGAGCCTAAAAGACCTAAAACAAAGTGGAATGATGGCGTACTCTCGGTCCTGGGAGGTGTGGGATTGGACAAATTTGGTTCGGACTGCTGCGTACTGGCAACTTGCTGGGCTCTCAGCCAAAATCTTCGCTTGGGGGGCAAGGGTTTGAGTCCCACAGCGGGCCTGGGTCGGGCATGTTGCCACCAATATTACGATGACATGGTTCATGCTTTCTAAGGACTTGAACGTACTTGTCTCAGGGCGTGCATTATATTCCCCAGCTGGCCTTGATAAGCTCATGAAACTCGCTGCCCTTGCCTTGTAAGAGGAACCACTTGCAACCGGGACACATTGGGATCCGATGCACGTGTGGGGGTTGAGAAATATAGTAATGCGGAAAGTTGCCGGAGACGGCGGACCATGAGGCTTGGCTGTTCGAAGTAAGCTTACACACTACAAAGCGTACACACATGCATGTACTTAGAATAGTTGCGCCGGGAACAAAGGAATCACACCGTGCACCAGACAATGCATGAAATACATCACTTGTCGGCATAGACCCCAGTTGTAACATGACGAGGGCATCGCGCGTTGTCGCATGCTGAGCAATGTCGAGCAGAAGCGCGCGCTGGCCTCGAACAGTGAGAGCCAGAGCACAGTGGCCACAGTGGACAGCGACTGCGGAGGATGATCAGAAACGCATACCTGCCAACCGCAGAGTAGGACCGGCGAGAACACGATTGAGATCAGAAACGCGCAAAGGCCTTGGCGAGAGTGGCCACGGACAGGTTCTGAGATCTTGGGCACAAAAGTGCGCAAAAAGCCATGCGAGCAAGGAACCTGCAGACTCGCTAGCTCATATGCCCCCCCCCCCCGAATGTAAGAGCCCCACAGTTCTCGCAAGCACTGCTCGGGGGAATAGGAACCGAGCATCAAGAACGAACAGATGTAAACATAGCTAGGTGCTGTATAGATCGACAGAGAAAGCGAGCGGGAGAGGCAGAAAGGGAAGAACAAATGAAGTCTGAAACAGGTTGAAACTTCGGAGGCTCGCTTTGATTTCAGGGAGCATACTGGCATACTGGAAACACTAAGCACCTCTCCGGCAAAAGTCTTCGAAAGCCTCATGCGAGTCAAATTGTCATTGCACGTCGGCCTCAACTATAGTTAGCGGGCGTTGCTTGCCTTCACTCAGTGGTTGGCATCGGTACAAAGAGGACATTTAAATGGCTGCTGCAGTTTAAAAGTCATTATGGGACACAAGCTTCTGCACATGTGCCGGACTCTAAACAGGAGGCTCCTTTCGAGTTGCCTGAGTCTGAGCGGCACTAACCCCCCTACAACAAACCTTACTAGAGCTAAGCTATAGGGGTAAGGCTCTTCTGCGCAAGTGGAAAGAGCCTCTGAAGGTGTGGTGAAGCTCAAGGAACTGACCATTTGTCAGCCTGCTTTCTGATGATCATAACATCGAGTCCTTGAAACACGGCCCGGCCTCTTTGCGGGGTTTGTCATCGGTGCCAAGATGTTCTGTGTTAAATCGACACGATGCAGTTGCGTCCTCTGGGCAAGCCTTGCCGGTCGAACTGATGAACGGTCTTGCTTCGCGCGCGCGAAGGCGCGGACGAGTCGGTAAACTCCCTGGTGCCTTGGCCACCAGAATCGGTTGAAAACCGCGACCTTGCGTGAAGAGCTACACCTCGGTTGCGATCCTCTGCTTTGGCCTTGAAGCTGTCGGTTCGCCGGAGCAGGAGGATCGACTGCTCAAACTCATAAGGCCTCTGCTGTGCGAAGTTCATCAGATCCTGCACGGTGGCACGGCTGCTCTTACTGCACACACTTGATGCTCGCGTGCGGGAAGTCTTCCAGCTGTCCCGGCTGGCATGGCCTTCTGAATCCATGCTGCAGGCGCGAACAGGACGGGTGTTCTTGGAATCCGACCTTGTTGGCGCACTCGCCGCCGGCGCGCTGAGTTGCCTTGTGTTCAGATGCAGTGCCGGTGAGGCGGCTGTTGATGTCGACAAGGACCATAATGAAGACTCACGAGCCAGCGCTGGACTGGCCATGGCCCCCGCTCTCCCTCTCTCTCTCTCGCGTGCTCTTTTTCTTCTTTCAAGAGCACTGTGTATGTCTACATCCTACACAACTACAAAACAACACACATACCTACCGACATAGATGTGTGCGACACAACAGAACATGTTGATGGAGTAAGTGGCACGATTGGGCCAGCAAACTCCGAGTCAGCAGAGTGTAGCCTCTGCTGCTGCCAGGACAGCGAAGCCAGAATGGGTAGCGGCGGAAAGCAAAACTGCCTTAGTCTGCACTGCGCCACAGACAGTGGCTTAGAGTGTAGGTTCTGGGGGACCCGAAAACCCTCTTCCCTTGGGCGTGTTTCTGTCCCCAGCAACAGTTGCCACAATACATGTAAGCTGCGACAGACTCGCAAGCACCTTGCCGGCATGCATATTCGGCATTTAGGATTGAAGCTGGTGCTTGGGTTTCGTGCTGTGGTTTGTATAGAGGTCCCTGTGGCCATTCCAAACTAGCTTGCATGCCTCCCCTCCGATGAAGTCTTCTCATCGTCATTGCAAAAGCTGTCTTCTGCAAACAATCAACCCTTTTCTGGTTTTCCCACCCCCTATTTTAAAGCATCAGCGTTCACGTCTGTGAACCTTCATCCGTGTCTGTCCATGACGACTACTGGTCGCATGATGCTTAGGAGAAGCTGCACCCTGTTCCAACCAATGCATCAAGCCATTCTTTCACCTCGGCACATCGCAACTTCTGCGTCTCTGAGCAGGTGCAGCAGGGCTGGAAAAACGAGGCACGTGTTGGCAACTTTCTTTGCAATACAAGCGCGGTTCAGCCCCAAGCTCGAACTCGAATCATGAGTCTGCTCGCAATATCCCTCATCACATGGGTGCATACAGAACTCCGTGCCTCAAGTGGCCGTGGCCCAGCGAAAATTTGCGAAAAGCTGTAGACCACTTAAGGGTCTCCAAAGGTTCGAAGTTCATGCCTCCAGGCATTTAAAAGCACGCTGTAGGGTGGACATGAACCGCCGTTTTACATGCCCTAAAAATCTTTATTATAGGTCTCCCAAACAAAGGTACCCCTGTTGTGGGAACCCACCCCGCCCCACATGCGCTTTGTTGGCGGAACCGAGGTGCGGAAAGGTCTGTAGGATTGGGGCGGAAGGCAGATGCGTCGGGCATTTGGAACGCGCATTCTTAAGAAGGCTCGGGACTCAGTGCTCTAAGGGTTTCGAGTCTGCTGCATGCTGCAAGAGGCAATGCATGGTGAAACTGCTGTGCCCGTCAGGCACTGAAATGCACTCAACTCTCTGAACCCATCTGACACTGCCTATGCACTCTCTAAACCCAAGATAGGGTTTACTGCTCAATCCGAGTTTAGGGAGGTTTTGAATGACATGTCGCTTGCAATATGCAGAAGCGCGGATGCAGGAAGCTAGGGCGTCGAATGCCACTGCATGCGCCAACTCCGTGTGGCTACTATAAGACTAGGGCTTTCTACGGTCTGAGGTGATGACGTGCCGTTGCAATATTGGGCGTCTAATCGCGCTGAGTCGTCTACGTCCACAAGCTTCAGGCTATTGATGCCATAAGAATGCGGCACCTCGTGAGCTCTCGACAGATAGGCGTATTGATACACTTTTTACAGGAGAAAATACGTCCAGAAGCCACTGCGGCAGAGAGATTCGAGCGCTGCTGTTGCGTCAAGTGCCCCCTACACCCTACTAAACCCTAAACGGCCCTAAGCCTAACCCGAGCCCCAAACCCTTTCCTCCGCATGATGGCGAGAACATGGTGACTTCAGGTTTAACGCCCTAGTCGTCAAGCGGTGACTGTTACTTTTAGTGGCGCTACAGTGCGAACGCCGAATAAGAAAACTCTCCAGAGAGGTCAGAGGTCACTGGTTTCTTAACTTCTAATTACTCCTTACATAGTCCCAACACTTAACCGCTTCTGACGGAAAAGTTCCACTAGGAAGCTGACCAAGTAAGTACAACAGCTCGGGTTGGACCATCACAAGTCTGGCCAGTGAGCGACTCAGAAACCGTACAGTTCCACGAATTGCTCGGCGAAGCCTGTGAACCTGAGCAATTGAGACAATCGGTGCGTCGAATCCCCAAACCACGAACCAAAGGAACAACTACAACTGAACCTCGTGCTGGAAACTTTGAAGGCACACAGACACAGCCACATGTAGGCAATCTACAAAAGTAAGCGGCGTGTTCCTTCGCTAATTACGGGTCCGTGGCCTGATTGTTGAAAGGACGAACACAGGTCTGCTAGCGGAGTCTGCCGAAAGACAAGACCACCACTCAAAAACCTATTTTTTTACCTTGAGTTTCAAAGCGAGATGGTCTAATCTTCGATCACTTCGTGTAGGCTCCTTCCAACAGCGGTCCTGGATGAAGCCTACACAGGAACTGATTTGTTTATCTGCAGGGTGTTGTTGCTTTACGGTGCTCGTTTTCAAGATTTTCAGGTGTGTTTCGAAGTGGAGAGTTCACCTTTAGACGCTCCTGCTGTTCCTGTATGGGGGTGCGTCCTAGATGAGTTTGGGCGAAAAGGTCAACATCGAGGCGTCTGGTCTCGCTACAGCAACATTAGAGCCTTCATTAAAGGCAGCAGCAGACATGGTGCTTCTTTTGTCGCTTGGCCAACGGCATTCTCGAAACGAAGGTCTGCGTCAGTAAAGCCCTTCTAGGAATGGCGACGGTTATGTCGGACCGCTTTACGACTTTGGGTTTAAGGTTTAAGGTTTCGGGCTTAAGCCTGTAAACCCCTGAGCCCCGACACGTAGGGGTGTTGTTAGCCACAAGAGTGCAGTATCGGATGCCAATGGCTGGCAGAGTGCCACCTGCGTGCCTGTCCATACTGAATGGCAACAATGTGGAGAGTAGAACGCTGCCCTCTCTGCATAGTTCATACCCATAGTACCCATAGAACAAAAATGATGCTTGGTATTTCCCCGGATTTTCTGAACTAAACGTCCTAAGGCGGCTATAGGGCTGACCCCTAAACCCTAAACCCTAAACCCTAAACCCTAAACCCTAAACCTTAAACCCTAAACCCTAAACCGTGAGGGGGCTATTGGACTGACCTTGTGTGTGTGTGTGTTCATGGAATGCTGCCCACTGTTGGATGTGGCGTGAGCCTTGAAGGAAGGTCGGCTCGCTCTAAGTTGACTCCCACTCACAACTAAGGATCGACTAGGTTTAGGGTTTAGGGTTTAGGGTTTAGGGTTTAGGGTTTCGGGTTTAGGGTTTAGGGTGTAGGGTTTAGGGTTCCGTCGCCCGGCGATGGGCAGCGACCCTGATGGAAGAAGTTCGTGAACACACGATGGGGGTTGACGGTTTTGGGGGCACCTTATGATCCCACTATCTGGGGGTCGGGTCCCTTATTTTCGTAAACGCACATACTCTGAAGCTAAACAGCTAAGCCCCTGAAACAAGCCGCCAAGCCAAACCGGGAGGGCGATCAACACGCGGGCACGAAGCCAGTCACTTGCCTAGTGCAGCGAAGGAAGCAGGCCTGGGGGCTCGGCAGCAAGCGTTTGGTGTCCTGCTCCGAAAGATGCCTTGAGGGTGATGCGTAAAGTAAAGACTTCTGTCCTGCACTTCACGATGCTCCGAGCGCACCCAAAGTGTCAACATTTTCTGAAGACGCTTTCTCACCGGTGACCGGCTCGTGCCCCACATTTTTTACATGGTCAAAACTGCTGCGCAGATTATCTGCAGCAGGTCTGCTGTTCAACAAGGAGAATGACTGAAAGCTGAAAGAGGTTTCACGCTGCCCCGGAGTAGACCGTGCCCATGCACTTGCAAAACTGACACCAAAATATGAAAACCATTAGGGCTGCCCCTTGCTATCACCCTCAGCCCGAACAACGACGTCAACAAAGCAAGCTGAAAAGCATCATTCACGAGCAACCCCTAAACCCTGAACCCTGAATCCTAAACCCTAGGCCCCGCTTCATGTACGAGTACCCAGCATGCAGACATGCAAACGCAACCATGTCTATCCGTCAGGACCACACATCCTGCACCTTTGGGCCAGCGTGATGATCTCTGATAACCATTTCGCTGTCGGGTTCGGGGCTTTTCCCCTAAAACCTATAAAGCCTAAACCCTAAACCCCTAAAGCCTTAACCCTAAACTGGGTAGTTCTGGCCCCAGCGAGGGCCGGAGCAGCCGTGAAGCCTCTTAGCCCTAAATAACAAGTTCTAAGGCTCTGAAGCTGGGTGGTTTTCTGGCGCCGCGGGAAACAACAACAAGCTAATGCCTAGCATCCCCAAAAAAAAACAGGATGATAGCCAGCTAGTTCGTCAGCCGAGTGGGGCAGAAGAAAGGCTTGACTTAAAACCCTACAAGCCTTACCCTTGCGATTCAACTTGACGAGCTGGGTCTTGGGCTACCGGAGCTGAGCACATGCCCTTCCGGAAAGCACACAGTTTGTGCGGACGACTAGCGTGTCGATGCCCCGGCCCCCCCCCCACCATCGCCCCTAAATCCTATAAAACCTATGTTAGCCCTAAACCCTAAACCCTAAACCCTAAACCCTAAACCCTAAACCCTTACTAAGCCCTAAGCCCTAAGCCCTAAACCCTAAACCCTAAACCCTAAACCCTAAGCCCTAAGCCCTAAACCTTACGGCTGAGGCCATGCTTCACGGCTTGCCATGCCAACTTGCGATTGCTATGCCCAACCTCACTTTTTGAAACTGAGCTACGGCGTTTAGGTTGTGCTGCTCCCCCGGATTATAATAGGGGGGGGGGTACTATGAAGGACTGTTCGTATAGAAATGGGGAACATCCCAACTTTTAGGGTTTCCGCGCCATGTTTGCCCAACATCGACTTTTAGGGTTGATGCGGGCCGCGAGGGCCCAAGGAGGCTGACGCAAGAAAGGACTTGCGGGACGTCTACGCGCAAGGCATAGGGTTTATAGGGTTTAGGGTTTAGGGATTAGGGAGTAGGGTTTGGGGTTTAGGGAGAGACGCCCCACGAGAACATACATGTGACGCTGCCAGCTTCTG